TGAGCAGGATAGTTTACAGAACATTTTATTTATTTCCTCAGCCAGATAATTAACATTACTGTTCATCTGATACAACAGAAATCATACCAAAAAAAAAAAAAAAAAAAGGTGGATATTTCTTCAAGAGAGCACACAAATACAAAGATATATCACATTTCGCAGTATTTCATAAGAAAAATGGGTGAATTAGTACATAAAACACACGAATTTTTTCCTCCCTTTCAAACGCACACACAAACCGATAAATCATATAAATTAAAAAATAATTGGTAAAATCCTAGTATACGGTGCGGCCTTGGCGCGATTTTTAAAATTGTCGCCAACACCAAAATGATGCGTTTACGTTTGTCGCCAAATTTTTGGCAACCTCAAAGTAAAGCGTCACCACAAGTTTGAGTTGGCAAAAAAAGTAAACAAAATGATAATCATAAGATAATAAATCCTAAGCATACGGTGAGACACAAGAAAAAAAGCAAGCATTTAGAAATTGAAAATAATTTTTAACAGACCTTTATAACAAATAAAAATATAATTTTCAACATGCATCGCAACAAATACAAAACATTCACATATCAAATATAATAAATTAAATACCATGGCTCAGTGTCACATATGTTTTAGGGTCTATATCATAACTCAAATGCCATGGCCCTCAAACTCGGGTGGCGGATATATTGCTTTTATTGCAAATATAAAGTCTTTCATTTTTTCAGATGACGATTTATTATTTTTCAGGTGCCGCCACATATATTCCACCAAATAAGAGTCAAACTCTTCGCTTACCTTTTTCGTCCCCTTCAAATCCCACGCTTAACAGCACTCCACGTTCCTTCCAAATCCTAGTATACGGTGCGGCCATGGCGCGATTTTTAAAATTCGGCAGCAATCCGGCATCTACTGCCCATTGAATTACAGCAAGCGGCTTAATCCTAGTATACGGTGAACATGAGAGTTGGCGAAATTCGGGTTTAAGAGACTAATAAGCGCGCCAACTGTGGTAACCAAGCCGATTTTGATGCTCTGTAGAAGAGTGCATTTTTTCGCCATGCTCATTAAATATTTTAAATTGAGAAGTTTTGATTGGTGCAGATGGAAGAGAAGAATTATTTCAAACCATTGTTTGAAGTTCCGTTATTCTTCGGTCTTCTGCTGAACTGAATGAGAAAGGATATCGTATCTTGAGGTTGCCAAAAATTTGGCGACAAACGTAAACGCATCATTTTGGTGTTGGCGACAATTTTAAAATCGCGCCAACGCCGCACGTATACTAGATTTACCCAGTCTGGTTTTATTCATTAATTCAAATGTTAAATATATCCAATCAATCGCCATAAAGCAAAGCCAAGGATATGCATGTCTGTGTGATCTTCTAGTGCAGTTACTACTTTGAAGGTGAAAAAAGCTTAATCCTAGTATACGGTGCACATGAGAGTTGGCGAAATTGGGGTTTAAGAGACTAATAAGCGCGCCAACTGTGGTAACCAAGCCGATTTTGATGCTCTGCAGGAGAGTGCATTTGGGAGCATTTTCGCGCATGCTCATTAAATACTTTAAATTGAGAAGTTTTGATTGGTGCAGATGGAAGAGAAGAATTATTTCAAACCATTGTTTGAAGTTCCGTTAATCTTCGGTCTTCGGCTGAACTGAATGAGAAAGGATAACGTATGTTCAGGTAAAATTTATTTATCTTTTATTTTTTGTATTTTTTAAAATAACAGTAGTGGTTCCGCCGAGTTTCTGATTGGTTAATATTTTTTAATTAATCGGTTTTTGGTCAGATACTGAATATGATTTTAGTTTGATAACGTCTTTTATTCTACAGTTCGAGTTGCTAACGTATTTTGTTCTACAGTTCTATTTGCTAACGTATTTTGTTCTACAGTTGGATAACGTTACTTTTCGATTATGATGTGCAGTGCTATGAATTGCGAATATTTAAACACGAAATTTTTTTGGAAGTTAGAACTGGAAGGAAAGCTTGCTGTAATTCAATGGGCAGTAGATGCCGGATTGCTGCCGAATTTTAAAAATCGCGCCATGGCCGCACCGTATACTAGGATTTGGAAGGAACGTGGAGTGCTGTTAAGCGTGGGATGAAGGGGACGAAAAAGGTAAGCGAAGAGTTTGACTCTTATTTGGTGGAATATATGTGGCGGCGCCTGAAAAATAATAAAATCGTCATCCGAAAAAATGAAAGACTTTATATTTGCAATAAAAGCAATATATCCGCCACCCGAGTTTGAGGGATATGGCATTTGAGTTATGATATAGACCCTAAAACATATGTGACACTGAGCCATGGTATTAATTTATTATATTTGATATGTGAATGTTTTGTATTTGTTGCGATGCATGTTGAAAATTATATTTTTATTTGTTATAAAGTCTGTTACGAATTACGGCGATTAATTGCAATCTGTGCAAGGAAAAAAAATAACATTGATTAAAATTAATCATTAAATTAATTAAAAAGACTACTTATTTAAGTTGAAAAAGCATTAGAATTTTAATTTTATTTAAATTTGGAACAAGATATCACTCGTATACTCACCACCACACCACTCGACCACGTTCGAGAACAAAATGGCGCTAGATTCGCATTACACATTGAAGGCATGTTCATGCGCAGATGGTGTCTGCGCAACCAGTCGTACGTTTAGCATTTTTACCATGTTTGAGCTAGTCGTACGGCTAGACACTTCCCAAAGCTATCAGCTATTCGTCATCGATGGGGAAAAGACAGTCTGGGCCATCCGAAAAAGCGGCGACCGGAGGAGAGTGCATTTGGGAGCATTTTCGCGCATGCTCATTAATCATGCGCATGCATCAAAAATTTGGCGAGAAACGTAAACGCATCATTTTGGTGTTGGCGACAATTTTAAAAATCGCTAGGATTTTACCAGTATTCCTTTAAAGGCCTCATTCAATTGAAACAGCGATAGTTGTATCCAGCATTAACGATCACTTTTGAAAACGAGTGATTTCTCGTATTCATTGGAAACACTTCCCTACCAGTCGAACTCGTAGGGGTTGCCAGAGGTTACTTGATGCGCGATGCTGTTTGTCACGTGGTCGGAAGTCGCGTTTGTATCGAAATAACCAATGAAAGAGCTACCAGATGTGCAGGTTGACTCCTCGTAACCATTCTTTAGGGTTGCAGTTCACGTTTGGTGTGCCATCTTTGGCTTTTCAGCGCTATTGTTTCAAAGTTTTATCTATGAAAATTCTTCAAAGGTATTATTTTATTTTAATTCTTTTATGAAAACAGCTAACCTAAAAGACACATTCCATTCACATAAATCATATACATGTGAAAAATATAGGTCAAGTAATTTTTGCATACTGAAAAAAAAGTGATTCAAAAGACCTTTTAAAGCAAAAGAAAAGAAAAATGTACCTAGTTCTATTAACAACTCAAAAAATACAATGTAATATATTCTAAAAGGAAAATTATATAATAAACAATGATGTAGATTACATATATTTAATAAATACATAAAACTCTATAAGACTCTAATGTTCATAACTATATAATAAACGCCAACACATATCACATCATGGTACATAACACTGCTATGAAAGGAAGCTTTGTAATTAGAAACATACCTTTTATATTTATTTGATAACATAGACGAATAAAATATAAAGATGACAAGAAGTTATGAAAACACGTTATGCAACTTAAGAAACAGTAAGAAGCCTTTTAAGTTATTGCAATATCATAAGGCACTGATTAGGAAGTAAATATCATTTTTTCATTCTTTTACATCAGTAATACTTTTTTCATTAAAAACTTTAGCAGTGAAAGCCAAAACCGATTTATCATTGGCGCCTCTGATGCAAGGTCACACAAAAATAAACTTGATTTAGCAAATTTCTAAAACATTGAAATCAAAAACAGTAACATATATTATTAAATTATTTTAATTACACATAAAAAATTGTCTGAATTAAATTAAGAATCACTGACTAAGCTTGTACAACATTTTAAAACATATTTTATGTTGATACATTGGAAATAAATTGACAGCAATCGCAGTTAAATGAAAGAGCTGGAAATACAGTCTACATGATGTATAAATACAGTCAAAATTATTCGTTAAATACCTAAATTGATGCTTACCTTCTTCAAAATGAATATAAATACGATATATTAATGTTACTTTAAGGGAAACATTATATAATGCATAATTTCAATCATATTATCCAATGTTTACTTTTTTTTTTTTTTTACATTGGAGGCCGACTGACAGATTTGGCGACAATATAATAAGGTCAAAAAATAACATACGATTTTAAACCATGAATCCCGCATTAAAATTTAAATAAAAAGTGCACTTCATAGTTATAATCACGCACAAAATTGAAATCAAATGTAAAATATAATTATTTAAACTTTGTCCCTTTCGCGATAATAACAATAAAGAAAATCACATCAGCATCTACTTATCGCCGTCGGTATCTGTGTATTGACTATACACATTCTGATATTCATTTTGTACATATATAAATCAATTTGTCATTAATTAGCAATACTTAAATGATAATACACATTTCGCTGAAACATGAACACTTATTTTTTTTAACAATTATGAAAACATACGAAGCTGAACTTACTTCAAAAGCGCACGGTCTTGCGCTCGGAATCTATTCCAATGGACAAGAATTAATTACCCATTTTCTTCGTATTTCTTCATTTCTCGGGAAACAGAACATACTAAAGTTATTTCTGGAACGATATGAATAATTTGATGCAGTGCATCCACGCATATTTCTCTGAATTAGGTAGCAATCCATCAACACAAATGTAAACAACACAGCGCTAAATCAATGTCCACTAGCAACAAGTGCACTTAATTTAGATACAACACAGATGATGTGTCGGCTGCCCTTGCTAGGATCCTTTTACGCCCTATACTTTGATATAAGTTGATGCTCACTCAGCAGATCTAAAGCATTTTCTTTAGCACACTTGATTTCTGTCCTCGTGAAAGCACAAACAACACAGCCGCCATATTGATTCGATCGTTTTTCGCCGAGGAATGATGGGTTCCAAGTTATCGCTATGAGAACGAGCGATCGCGAGCTCAGAGTGATCGTTGCGTTTCAATTGAATACCAAAACAGCAAAATCAATCGCAACTGATGACGTATGACGACTAACGATCACTAAATGTTTCAATTGAATGAGGCCTTAAATTGCAAGGTTTCGCGATATTAATTTTCCTTCTGACAAAGTTTATACACGAATCCAACTCCTTGATCCCAAAAAGCGGCGACTCCGTGGCGGCGACCAAAGGCCTTAATAAGGAAAACAGTGTTGTGTTGTTGCCATCATATGCCCAAATTTTACTTCTCTGTTTACTCAAAACAATTCATTTAAAAACTGCAATGTGTATAATTTATTCAAAATGTACTTTTTTATTCTTATGTATATTTTTTTTCACTGAAAGAATCCGTAATATTAGATATTTAGCAAACATTATCTTCAAAAACGAAATATAAACCAGCTATGATGCAACTCAACACTACATGAAATGTCATGTCATCAGAAAATAACAAAAGTAGTTTGAGCTAAATTCTGATTAAAGAATTCATAAATTGCTAAGTCTGTGTGTAAAGCATAGTTATCAAAATGTCGGCTAAAAATCGTAATACAGGGTATTATGATTGGAATACCATTCCTCCTAATACTAACACGGCGAATTCAGCGTACAGTTATGATTTTGGCACACCTGAATTTGGGGGACAACCTCAGTTTGGTCAGTTTGATTATGATTCATCTCAAACTACGCAGATGCCACCATCTGCTGTGCCTAATCAAGGCCTTTACTATCCATCACCGTCTTATTCTGGCAGCATTTTGACGCCTGAAATTGCATCTCCATTTGATGGAAGCACACCGGATACTTTCGAAGATGAGCCTCCCCTTCTGGAAGAGCTCGGTATTAATTTTGATCACATTTGGCAGAAAACTATTGCTGTATTAAATCCATTCAAAGAACCAAATGCTTCCATTCTACAAGAAACAGATTTAACCGGCCCATTGGTCTTTTGCTTATGTTTCGGTGCATTTTTACTACTAAGTGGAAAAGTTCACTTCGGCTACATCTACGGTATTGGTGTAATGGGTTGCATTTCAATGTATTGTTTGCTTAATTTAATGAGCGAATGTGGTGTTTCTGTTGGATGCACTATAAGCGTTCTTGGATATTGCCTGCTACCAATGGTGGTATTGTCTGGACTTTCGGTTTTATCACTGAAAGGGACTGTGTGTACTATATTAACTGTCATTGCTGTATCCTGGTGTTCATTTTCAGCTTCAAAGTTATTTGTAACTGCACTAGCAATGGATCATCAACAGCCACTAGTTGCATATCCTTGTGCTTTGCTTTATGGCGTATTTGCATTGCTGACTATATTTTAACATTTGAAATTATAATGAATAAAACCCAGACTGTATTCCAAGAGCTTAGTTGTTGGAATGATCTCTCAGCTTTCTGCAGATACGTATCAAATGTTTCATCAATTAAATGAAACATATATCATATTTGTGGTAATGTATTCTGAAATTGCCCATATTTTTTTGTTATTATAAATACAGATGGAATTTCTGAAAGTATATCAGACATATGTAATCATATTTTTTTTTGTTAAAATTTCTTATGAAAACTAAATTTTTCTAGTTTTCTCTAATATAAATACTTAATATTTCAAAGAGAATGTTATGATAATACTGTTATTCAACACTATACATTTTTGAGTGTATGCAGTTGTGTCAGAAATCAGATTCTATTAAGTCTTCACAATTATTATATTATAATTAGCTTAAATGAAAAATTAAGTACATTATTTGGTAAAATCCTAGTATACGGTGCAACCTTGGTGCAATTTTGAAAATTATCGCCAAAACCAAACATGATCCAAAGAATGTCTATATATATATACTATATAATGTAGTGTATATACACTATATACATAGTATATACGATGTATAACTATATATTTTCTTTGAATGACCCGTTTACTACTCATCGTATATGTCCCGTTTTTACTGCTCATCATAAAGTCGTCAAAAGTAGCAAATACCGTGTGCACCGGATACTAGGATTAAACCCATTATTTTGTTTTAATTTGGTAAAAGTGTGAAAATTTCAGAAAGAAATAAACATTGGAATGTTTCAGCAATTTTAATACAAATGTAACAGCAAAACATGTATTTTTAATAATATAATTTGAAAGTCATGAATATAGCAGTAAATTTTTGGTTTAATGCTTTCTTTTGTGTTTATTAAAGATTTTTATACATAAATAAAATTATTCATCCATGATCCATAGTTGCATTTTAACTATGTTCCTTAATATTTTGTGTAGCAGTTTTGAATTTTAAGGCTTTATAACACATATTTTGAAATATGTATATAAACTATATTTTTTTACAGTTTTAATATGTATTACTGTAGAAAGGCAGTTTGTGTAATAATGATTTTGTATGGTTCAATATTTATCTTAAATTACTTTTCGGTTAATCTTTGGATTATGGTAACTTGGCGATTTTTTGGCGACCAACTCTGCTACAGCAACCCTCTATTTTTTTTCCCGCCGCCAAAGACATCTTTCTTTTCTTTTTTGAACACTTTTTCCAACAATCTACTTGCCAAATTACACTTATGCTAGAAATTTTATCTAACAAAACTGCTTAATCATGACAAGTATTCACTGCAAAATTGGGAAAAAGTGCACAATACCGAACTCCTTACGCGTTTTTCAGAATAACACATACACATAAACCATGTACACGTTGACTTATTTTTACTTAAAAAAACATCCCAGAATTGCGCAAAAATGGCATTGCGCACACTCTTCACTATATCCATGTACACTGTTTTTTTCTCATAAATTAGAAAAATTTCACGAAAATGCATGAAAATACTCAACGTATACTACTCAAACGTATTCCAAAATACTACAAATATATAACTCACAAAATCACGATCATTAAATTAAAATATAATTAAATTAAAAAACACTACTTTAAATATAAATAAGCACATACATTAAATTAATAAAATTAGATTACAATCGTAATTACTTTAACTAAATCATTGCTAATAACAATTTCCAATAATACCACATTAATTTATTACTCCTTACATTTAGAACAATGCATAAAAAAATATCCTCAAATAATTAAAAATACTAACTTACCTAATCTTCTTCAGAATCTTTCACTACGTCGCTGCAGTACTACTGCTAATTTCTAAATCCAAATCCGGTAGTCAACTAGAAGTTCTATTCACCAAGTATAAGAAATTAATAAATTTTTCACCTATACTCAAACTGCTTTCAGCAAACTAAGTGCCCCTACCTCACACTTCTTTTCACAAAATGTCCATTTCACATATTCTTTTCTTGCACCGCCATTTAAACTTGTAATATCCTTCCTTTCACACAATCTCAACTTATATTATTATCAATAAACGCATTAAAAATTTAGAATTCACTTTACCAAAGCGCCATGCAATCCGAAAATTAATCACACTATTTCAAACACAACACAATGAAGCTTTTCTAAATTACCCACCCCCTTTTCCGATTAAAGAACTGTAATTCGTCCATTAATGTCACGTTCACACAAACCAGAATATAGCTAAATACGAAATTTCCAGATTTCACCCTTTTCGATTTAACACAACTGTAATTCGTCCATTAATGTCTCATGATCTCTCATTTCCCTCACACAAAATAATGCGTAATCGGAACTGAGTGCTTCTCACATTATTACCAAAGTCCTAGGTAGTAACCTTTATCGCCTCCAAAATGTCGCCAAACTACCAGTTACCATGTTCTAAAGATTAGCCAAATTGGTATACATAGTACTGTACTGATTAACATAGTAATATTCCATAAACTGTAATACAAATATTTAATTATAAAGATTCATTAAATATTCATATAAAGTCTGACAAATGTCTATAAATTAAGACAGTTCAGTTCAAACAGAATTTAGTAAGAAAAATTACACTGAAAATCACTTAGGGTGGGAGAATGGAAGTTAAATAAATTTCATTAATTCCATAAGTTCCATTTGCTGCTGAAAAACACTTTTTCTTATTAAAAGCTAAAAACCAGGCATTTGGTGATGCACTTAGCGACTAGGAGATATGACGGAATAGCCAAGAGTGACATTTGAATATTTCAAAGCTCACAAGGGCTATTCGTTAAGAACAGCTTCTTAGAGGATTTTCTAAAGAAAACTGACTTATATTCACATTACACATGTGAAAAACCACAAAAAAAAAAAAAAAAAAAAAAAAAAACAGCCATCCAGCAAACTTGCTCACTTGGAATCGAACTACCACTATTCAGAGATCTTAACTCCTCAGCCATTGGTGGGGCATGTCCCAGTAAAACTGGGAGAATTAGCAGCTATGCATGTGAAAATTTAATATTCAAAGATGTTGAATAAACAGAAGAAAACATTTTTTTTGAAATATTATATTTATTAAAAGGAGATGGGGAAACAATTTATAATAATAGGAGGAGGGGACAGTTAAAATAACATAGACAACATTATGTCTAAATTTAGAATGTAATCTCATTAATCAGCAGATACTGGCAATATCCTCTACAAAAAGATAACTGATCTACACCAGCTTTAGCACACTTAATTACAGAATTCTAAATCCATCAATAATTTAAAATAAAACTTTTTGCACTGCTTTGAATTATTTAAAAGTGCAGGATATTAGAAACAGATACATTTGTTGAAGGCAAATTATGATTAATGGACTTTCTGATTCATGAATATTTCTGGGGTACAAAACAATTAAGTGGTTGAAAGAATATTAAATTAAAAAGGAAGAGGAAGAAATGAACCTTCGAAAAATGTTAAAATATAAATTTTGATTTCATCATTAAAAAAAAAAAGAACCATGAAAAACATTTATCAAAAGTATACAACATGCGAGATTCAAAGGTACAGTTTTAATGAATTTTATTAATCTATTTTTGTTGTAAGTAGATTTGTGTATAAAATGCATAACTTCCAGTACTACAGTGCAAAGTCCAAAATCTGAAACACTAACAATTTTTTTCTTTCTTCCAAAATCTAGGAATCGAGAAAAAAGCAGGTGAGGCATAAAAGCAATTTTTCTCTTGATTAACTACGATTCCTCTTTTATCACTTTCGCACATTTGCAGGGTAGGGAATTGTAGCTTGGCCAATAACAATACATTGATTGATATTGTAGTGATGTTAGCCAATGAATGAAGGGGTTAAAATTTTCTTTAGGAAGAACAAAGCTCCAATCACTTTCCTGCAATGTTCACCTTTAATGGACTGTATCCACCAGCATTACGAAAAGAAGAATCACAAACTGGTCAAAGTTAAAAGTCCAGCTAGAAAATATACATTGCAATCTTCAGCATTATACTGTAGCTGACATTGAGTTTGCTATTGCAAGCTTTAATACCAAATTCATTCAAGTGCTGAATGATTGTACTAAGTACATTAATCAAGAAAACCCAAATGATTACATACTTGAAAAAATTAAAACAAAACACAGAGGCAGGAAACATTGGAAGCTCATCAAGGACACCAAGGATAAATGAAATCAGAAAAATAACAGAACTAATAATGCACTCCTGGAGGGAAAACTCGGATAAACGGCACTTGGGCACAATTTTTTCCGCCAACATGAATCGTGAAAAATCGCCTTATCCTTGGGAGGAAATTTTTGACTCCAAAAGGGAAATGCCATCAAAAGGCACTTTCTGAAAATCCCTTCTTCAGCCCAATATCGGGGTAAAAGCTCTGCTGGGTGAAAATCGCATAAGGCAAAGTGTAGTGTTTGCATTGAGATGATAAACCACAGTTAGAACAAATTGTAAACGATTAGTTATTGTGATTAAGTAAATCTACATATTTTTTTTCATCTTAGTATTTTATATTATGATAGATACCAGCAGGGTAAAGTGCAGAATCGTCCACTTATTTGTTCGGCGTTTGTTTTGCGCTTTTTACAAGACTAAGAAGAATTGGATTTTTATCAATTTTCTTTGACTTTTTAAGTGAAAATAGGTCGTTGTGTACATGGATAAAGTAAAGGAGTGCCCAATGCCATTTTTGTGCAATTCTGAGATGTTTTTTTAAGTGAAAATAGGTTGATGTGTACATGGATATTGAGTATGTGCAATTAAAAAAGCGCCAAGCAGTGGGTGATTCTGCATTTTTCCCCTCCAGCATTATTAACTTTTATACTTCTCTTTTTTAATTCTTACCATTAATTTGAACAATTATCCATAATAATGGTTATATATGTTATTTGAAAACATGTTCTTTATATAAATGCAGTAAAGATCACAAAAATGCGATATATATCACATAGTTAATGATGAAAGTTTGAAATAATAAAATATGCATGTATTTCCACAACAATATTGCATCCTCGAAATGTATTCCAGGCTATTCAATCATGCAGTCAGGTTTATATTTTACATTCCGGATTCTTTTATGCAAATAATTTCGATTAATAAGGTTAAGAGGGTTACTTTTATCTTTTTATCTTTTATTCTTTTTTTTTTTTTTTTTTTTTTGTTTTTTTTTTTTTTTTTTTTTTTTTTTTTTTTTCGTGTTTAAGTGTGAAAATAGTTTTCACGTAGGTAACCAAAGAAATGTAATCCTGAATTGCACAACTGCAGGGAAACAAGATTTGTAACAAGCGCTTCTATGGCTTTTCAGTACATTATGCAATTATTTAAATTTCAAAATGAGACCAGTCAAATAGAATAGGATAAGGTTATTTGAATTTGTCTGTATTTATTCCATGAAAAGTTAAATCCTAAAATATTATTTTTGTGCAATCTGAACTTTGTCTATAACAGTGGTTTCAAACTGGTGGTCCCCGAAACAATTTTATGTGGTTGGCGAATGTATTTCAGTTATGCATTTGTTGCAAATACAGTGATGCAAAGATTTCTATGTTTTACTTATTTGAAGTTTCAGTTTATTTTGTGTTTATTACTATTAAATATGAACATGAGTAACACGTTGAA